GTGGGTCACTAATAACCCCAAGTATCACCCACTCATTCAGGTTGGCAAGAGCCTCACAGGATTGGCAGGAGCGTCCTAAAAAAAATTTCTTCATATCTAACTGGAATTTCTCTGTTGCAGTTGTATCTCTTGTCTCTTGTCCTGTCCCAGTGCACCTCCAGGAAGAGTCTCCCTTGAGCCTCCTCCTCTTTCATCATGTGCTCCAGCCCCCTCACCAGCTCCGTAACCTCGCCTGGACTTGCTCCAGGACGACAATTAGTCCACCTTCTTCTTCTGTCTTGGTATTCACTTGAGTAGCAGTAAATGGAAAGGACACGTGAAACGGAGAATAAGACAGATGGCCAGATTTAGTTCAGGAAAGAACACAGCTACTGCTTCATTCTCGCTGGGTCAAATTTGATGCCAGCAGAAAAGCTGGCAGGAGTAGGCAGTTAATCAGATCCTTATTATTACCTGTAACCGGAGATGGACAGAAGGAGACATCCAGCCCATTCAAGGAAGAGTTAATACGTGCATTCACAAAGCATTCAATGGCATCTTTGTCGCAGTTGCAGAGGAAGTGTTCACAGGGATCCCCAGACTCTGGAAATAAAATAAAAATCCAAACAAAGTACTATTGAAATATCTTTTCCACCTCCTGCTTTTTCCTCCCTGTAAGGTTTGTGTCTATATTCAGTAGAGCAAACCTATTTATACTGTGCTGCTTCATGTTAAACACAATCAAGTTTCATAGTCCAACACTGGTTTTGAAACACCATCCAATGTAGCCTGGCACGGCTGGCAATAGACTTCTTGCCTGAGCCGGTTCGTTCTGCACAGTAGTGAGGACTACAGAGCAGTGCTTTGCCGCCTCTAGTTTTTCCATGGAAAACTTAACCCAGATGATAGTGAGGTTGACATTTCACAGAATTCATTAAAATATTCCTCCTAACATCAAGAAGCCATAGTCCACAAGCCAAGCCTTTCAGGGAAGATGTATTTTGCTCCTTATAAAGGATATGAAGCAGTTTCCCAGGAAATACTATTTTACCACTTCAAAACCTTCTACCTTTCAGGGGTTAAAAAAAAAATGACATTGACCTTTCAGAGCTGTCACACTTATGTTTCACATTTTTCGTGGGGACTATTGGTTTTTTTCTTCCTTTATTTTTTTGTTTGAACAAAATGTTTTCTGATTATTAAGTATGGAAAGACCTAAAAAGCACTATTTATGTTTAAATGCACTTGGACATTTATAGATTGGCCTAAATAGAAAAAATGGTTTTAATTTGAAACAAGGAATTTGGATCAGATTGTTGCTTAAATGAGCTGTAAGAGTATTGGTTTGGGGATTCTGCTCTTCTTTGCTGGCATCCTCAAATCATGTTCTAGCATAGTCTTTTCTGAGAGTCAATACTTGCTGAAAAATTATGTTAAAATTGATTAGGCATTAAAGAGCCCCACTCCATGCTTGCCAGGCCTGTATTAGTATTGCATGGAGTAGGTCCTATTACAATGGCATGGTCTCTGCCCTTGTTGGTGATACTGTTGTATCTGAGGAGTGTATATGACCCTGTGAACAGAGAATTTGATCCCTTGATGTGTATAGAAATCAGGCCTTGAAGCTTCAGAAGGGAACAGTTTTTCATGTCTTTCCCCAGCATCCGCTGCATTTCTGATGTGTGAAGATGTCTCAAGCAATGAATGCTTAGTGGTCCTGCAAAGTCAGGGAAGCCTCAGCAAGAGGCTGCCTATTAGAGGAGCCCTGGCAAGTTTCTAGTGATTGAACTTCAATTTTCCTGCCTAGTTGGGGTTTGATGCCTCTGTGTATTCCTATTTCCATTCACCCCTGAGCAGAACACTTAAGCCCTTAAAAATTCACACGTGGAGGTGGTTTCTGCTTAATTTATATATAACTTTTGGTAGATAGACCAAAATTCTCGACAAATTCTCGGTCGTTGTGAGGCTCCAGTATTATGCTCTTGCAATAGGTTAATCTTACCACAGGTCAGGTTTTCAGTAGAGCAGCTGACATCTGTAGAAATCTTTGATGGATCCCATGTGCACTCCATCTCCATTGCTTCCTCGTAGCATTTGCGGTGCTGGAAACAGCAGCTTAAAAAATGAAATAACACAAAGTTCACACAATTTGGTTTTAGTTCAAGATCAGACTGCAATGCTTTCATGTCACTCTTACACAAGAATGCAAAAGATGCCAGAAGAGAAAAACAGGTCCTCAGCATGATCCCTAGACACAAGAAAGGCTGAGTACTGCTTTTCCCTGAGTTGGTGTAGTGGGACAAGTACAGCTGGATGCAAAACTCAGTGGTAGGAGCAGGTCTGCATGCTGTGGGAGACCACACTTAACATTTCTCTCCTGCTGCAGTACCTGAGTTCTTACAGCTCAGCTCTAGAGGGTCTTGGCTTCAGCCCTGCCACAACCTTTCTCACTGCAGATTTGGACACCTACACAGAACCTGGCACTCAGAGAGTGTTAATGCCTCTGCAACACCTTGTGAATCCCTGTGCCTCATTGAGACTATGTAAGTATGTGCAGTGTTATCCTCTGTTTCTTGTACTTTCTCTTCTATGCAACAATCAGAACTAAAATGCACCATTAAGCCCATGGGAAGGGGCCATGAAATGTTTTTCTCACACTGGAGTAAAGCAGCTTTCTCCTACAACCACACAACAAAGGCAGGTAGAAATCTTGCGTTTTCCTACAGCCCTGCTGTCATGCAAACCCCAGATGCCACATGACCACTTTAGCTGTGAATAACAATGAAAGGTCAACTAAAACAACAAGCTCTTCATCAATCCTTTCTTCTCTTCAGCTGATTTTGAACAGGCAAGCCATCTACTTCTATATCATAGCAACATCTCTGTGCACTGACATCAGCTATAAATGAAACACCGTAAAACACTCAGTCATCATTTACCCATGTAAGATCGTGATGTAAAATAAGCAGTGGCTTGCTGTTAGATTTAGATTGAAATATCCTCATTTCAGAGAAACGGACTCAGAACATAGGCCTGTTATTGAATTGCCATTGGTCTTGACTATGCTGAATGCGAAGACAACATTAACAGTCAAAACCAGCATCTGCTGCCAGGAAGGGTGAACTTGCGATCACGATGTAAGGAGTTAACTTGAATTAAGCTCATGTGGGATTTTTGTTAAAGACGCAGTGAATGTGTTATTACTGTGATTATTATATCACTGCGTATGCACTGAACTCACCAGTGGACAGAAGCACTCCTGCACTGATCAGAGCAGGGAGCAAACACCTGCACCTTGCAGGCTCCCTTCTAGGCTACACGTTCACTTTCTCATTTCCAATATTTAGGAAGCATTTAATATTTAAACACTTACTATATTAATAAATAATATTTACTATATTTAATATGTCCTCCCCACCAAGGCAGCAGTCCAGCTCCTAGCCGCAATCAGACTTTTGACTTGGTGAAAGACATCAGTGATGACGTTTGCTCAGGTTCCCAGCAGCACATCAGAGCTCATGAACAGTGTTAACCCAGCTGATGAAGTTTCAAAGCCCAGTTTCTTGCACTCCGGTGTCTCTGCTGCCTGTTAGTGGTTTTGCTCCCTGCTATAACCTGGTGTAGGAGACTGCAGGAATGTATTGAACAAAAGCGAGGGCAAACAGCATTCAGCAGGCAGGCGCTGATGGTTCCACCACACCACAAACACTACTGTGCCTTGTTTCAGAGGTGAGGCTGAAGTTTGCAAGGTCCATCAGGAACAGAGTTTTAAACATATAGCTGATGAAATGTCTCAAGACCCACTCCTGTCTCTGCTTGAGGTCTAGTGAGGTGTCAGCAACTGAAAGCTCCTCTAACTACATACTTATACAAACTCCCTGAAATTCTTGTTTGTTTACAGCATCACAATCACATCAACACTTAATGCAACAGTTAATCAGAAAATTTACTTGCCTTCCCTTTGCGAGCAGGGATTGTAAGACATGGATTGTCCTCTGGGCATGATTATCCTTCCCCATGGACTATAGAGGTAGACTGGGCTCCTAATTTAGATACCACAATTAGCTACTCTGGGAAATGGGAGAAGGTTGGGCATATGGGCACAAACGTTTTCCAGTGCCTAAAAAACCTACAGTGAGATGTTCAGCCCTTTTTTATGGAACAGAAATTGCAGTGACAAAATCCGAGGTTTGTAAAACTAGTTTTTAAGAAATAAAATTAGCGAAAAAATTGCAACACTGTGGGAACTGTGAGAAAGACATGTAGCAGCCACCTGTTTGGAGGTTCTCTTGAACCAAGGGCATATCTGTGTCAGTGGCAAAACAATAATTGGTCTCCATTTACTGCAAACTGCAGTGGGGTTGCCATGCTGCTAAGAAAACCTCACTGCAGGACTGTTAACCAATTTATAAACACAGAGTGACTCTGTGGACGTTTCTCAGGACAAAACTGCTGATAGATCATTCTGCTGTTTCTGTATTTACAGTGCTCTGCATTAAAATGAAGCTGAGTGAAACAAAAGCCCAGGTGCTCAGCTCTTTGGGCATCAATCCATTGAACTGACTTGAGCTCTTATTTCAGCATGTCATCACGATTGTTCAGAAAACCTTTCATCAGAAGTTCCATGTTTTTTTTTTCTAGTAGCAGAGTTAGTTTTTCATTTCCCCAGCCATCCCATGCTGGAAAGTGGATGGATTAAATTACATCTAGCTATAGGCATTAGCCCTTACTGTCTTCACTCAGGGAATTAATACATTACATTACATTGTTGGAAAAAACTTTTTTCTATTTAGACATGGATGGATCTTTATTCTCTTTGAATTTCTTTTCACACTTCCTGCTGGCATAAGTGAACAACCATTTGATTGTCCTGGCCTGAGATGACATTTTTCTCACTAGCTCAGTCAGGGTCTGGGGCAGTATCCTTCCTTCCAAAGCACAGAGCGGAATTTGAATGGTTTTGTTTCTGGTGCATGGTACTGGGAAGAGCCATTGAGCTACATTGTTCTTTGTGCCTGGATGCTCCCGTGTCTTACAACCTCTGCATGTACGCAGGTATTCAGGGCAAGATCTGCTTAACCTCCTAACTGCCACTTGAAGTCATACTTAGCTGTAACCTGATTCTGTTGATGCTTAAATCCCCCTCGGATGCCAACATTTTCATTATAGTCCAGTATGAGTCCATTACATTGCTGATGTATTACACAGCTCCCAATACCAACAATTTGGTAAGGTTGTAAACCTACTAAACTTCTCAGATTAATGCTTTCCCACTCACCTTATTAACAGGCCCTCCAGATTTTGGCACCAATTTAAGTGTGAGAGAATTCCCCAGTACAAAGAAATGAATGAGGTTTTGTTCACATAGATCTGTTCAGAATTGAGAGACCTCTAGGTAAGATATTTCAAGGAGATAGGTATGGTGTTTACTTCTTCTATTGCATTAGTGGCCACTCTTTGCAACCAGTTTAAATCAGCTGTGCCACCAGAGTTGCAGTGGTGGAATTATATGCAAGTGTGGGGGACTCTGTTTTATCTGCAGGATGGGAATACTTCTCCACATCAAAGTGTGTGGAAATAAAGAGAGACTGTGAGCTATGAGAAAAAAGAAGCAAGCGGGTCATCCCATGCTGTAGAGGGTAGAGTAATAAATAATTTCATGTTTCCTGGCTTGGTGGCTGGATTATTTTTTAATGAAAGTAAAACTGGAATAGAATCATTAAGGTTGGAAAGGATCTCGAAGATCGTCAGTACAACCATCAACCCAACACCACCATGCCTACTAAACCATGTCCCAAAGTGACACATCTACCCGTTTTTTGAACACTTCCGGGGATGGTGACTCCACCACCTCTCTGGGCAGCCTGTTCCAATGCTTGACCGCTCTTTCCATAAAGAAATTTCTCCTAATATCCAATCTAAACCTCCCCTGATGCAACTTGAGGCTGTTTCCTATCATTCTATCACTAACTATATGGGAGAAGAGACCAACACCCACCTCACTACTACCTCCTTTCAGGTAGCTGTAGAGAGCGATAAGGTCTCCCCTCAGCCTCCTCTTCTCCAGGCTAAACAACCCCAGTTCCCTCAGCCGCTCCTCAGAAGGCCTGTGCTCCAGACCCTTCACCAGCCTTGTTGCCCTTCTCTGGACACGCTCCAGCCACCTCAATGTCTTTCTTGTAGTGAGGGGCCCAAAACTGGACACAGTATTCCAGGTGCGGCCTCACCAGCGCCGAGTACAGGGGCACAATCACCTCCCTGCTCCTGCTGGCCACACTATTCCTGATACAAGCCAGGATGCTGTTGGCCTTCTTGGCCACCTGGGCACACTGCTGGCTCATGTTCAGCCGGCTGTCGACCAACACCCCCAGATCCTTTTCCACCAGGCAGCTTTCCAGCCACTCTTCCCCAAGCCTGTAGCGTTGCATGGGCTGTAGCGTTGCATGTGGCTGTTGTGACAGAAGTGCAGGAATCAGATATTTAGCTTGTAAGTGAGTGATGACTAGATTAAACAGAGCTGGATGGTGTGGGACTGACTTACCCTCTGAATAAATGTATTTTTTAACAACTGTCCTTAAATCATTTAGGCAAGTGTTATGCTTCGGGTCATCAGAGCATGAGGGCACTGACAGCCAGTGAGGGCAGAAGAGGAGATCTCATGGATAAGACTTACTCATCAGCTTCATCCATGGGCAGTCCTTCCATCTCAAACCGGCAAGAGCAACCATAGTCTTCAAAATCCCTGGGGCAAAACCCAGTAACACACTTCATTTTGTTCACAAAGTTGAGCAGGGCAGGGAAGTTAGTGAAGATGGACTGTAACCAGGTGAAGTGAGAACCCAAGCAGTCTGGAAAGAGAACAGCCATAAAATGCATGGTAAATGGAGGTGAGCCAGGTGTGGGTCACGCATGGGTGTTGTTCACATGAACATAGAGCCTAAACGAGGTGGTAACACAGGGACATTGAGCAATGCTTGACACTCAGCAGTATTTAGTTTTATAATAGTCTTTGGGGAAATCTACAGCCTCAAAAATCCCTGTTCCTTTTCAGTATATATGAAAGCAAGCTCTTTTTTCTGTTCAGTGCTCAAGTACAACTGGAACACAAACTTACCAAAAAATAATGCAACACTTTCCACATTTTGAAAGACTCCATTGAAGAATGTGGCATTGTCTAAACGAAAAAATAAACAAACCACACTTCTTTTTAAAAAAGTAAATGACAAGAACTGTCCCCAACCTGCACCCAGTCTTCCTTCAGTTGTTAAACCATTTTGAGATAAAAGTTACTAGCTATTTGCTAACAGCACACTTCCCTGCAATGCTTCTGGAGTATGAGTGATTCCCCACTGCCATGCAATATTGTAGAAAGTAAAGCTTAAACCATTCTTACTCAAGATTCTTTCAGGTGTATCAAGAAGCTCTGGCA